GTCAGAGAAACAGGACACTGGAAAACAGGCCGATCTCCAACATCTATAAACAAAGATGTTGATGGCAGCAGCACAGCTGATATTTCTCTCCAGGATGGTGTCACTGCCAAACAGCATCAGACGAGGCAAAGCTACTAGAAAAAGCAGAGAGAGCATAACGTTAGAGATTGAACTAACAGATACTGTAAAGTGGGAGACTAGACATAGAATGAAGCAGAATGATCAAATAGGGGTCCCTATGTCCTCCAGCAGTCTGAACCTATAGCAGCATAAATATAGAGATAGCTCAGGATAACCTGAACCCACTATAAGCTTTTCAAAAAGGAAAGTTTTAAGCCAACCCTTAAAAGTAGACAGGACAGAGGAGCCTGATAACTACAAGATCTGCCTCCCTTTTTACTTTTAGAAATTCTAGTAGGAACCACAAGTAAACCTGCAGATTGAGAGTGAAGTGCTCTGTTAGGAACATAAGGAACAATAATTTCTCTGATAGCAATTGGAGCTTGGCCTTTTCAGGCTTTATATGTGAGAAGAAGGATTTTAAATTCTATTCTTGATTTAACAGGAAGCCAATGAAGAGAAGCCAGGATAGGAGAGATATGATCTCTCTTTCCAATTTTCATCAGAACTCTGACTGCAGCATTTTAGATCAGCTGAAAGCTTTTAACTACAGTTTATAGACTTCCTGATAGTAAAGAATTACAATAGTCCAGCCTTGAAGTAACAAATGCATGGATTAGTTTCTTAGCATCACATTAGATTACGTGATGCAAAGGAGAAGACCAAATTCCGAATTTACAGTAGCAGATCCCCTCACCTCTATCGTCTTTAGCAGACTCACATTCTTCTCCAAGATTTCTTGATCCTTGAACTCCTTGATCGTTTTAAGATATCTCCACCATCCACAACGTACCAGAAAGCCAAGAAAAAGACCGGTGACCCTACATTTCTAATTATGGTAGCTCGTAGGACTTCAGCAGCAGCAACCATCCAATCACAGACCAGATTCAGTTGTGCATCAGCTGTGTGTAAAATAAGTTTAAGCAGTGACAGCCAATGACAAAAGAAAAGACAGAGGGCCAATCTGGAGCTTGTGGGCAATCTAAACTCAGGTAAGCGGGCTCTAGATGGGCTCCAGCTTCAGGTGCAGTTTCCCTCTTGTCCTAGAGCTCGACAAATGTCGGTGTACTGTAGTGTAACATCGTTTTCGGATAGTAAAAAGTGAAGGGGACCAAAAATGACTTTTGAAAAAGGGGAGGGAAAGTGTTAATTTATGGTTTATGATCATTATCTTCACATAGAAAAC